AAGGCCCCATGTCTTCCGTACACAGTACATCAACATGTACACAGCAACAACAGCCACCATTCGCCACTACTGTATATCACAAAGACAAAAAGATCCCCACCCCCGTATAACCTGAACAGACCGTTGAGGCCAGTGCTGTTAGCGAGCACTCATGAAGGCCGGCATGTCACACGAGCGGGTGAGTGGCCGGCACCACGCACGGCCGCCTTTGTCTCTCTGGCCACGCTGTTTATACACCGCACCAGGTACTCATTTGAGGCCGAGTCGACCTAGGGAAAGCTCAGGACCGGTTCAGATAATCGTCAGTGGTGTTGTCCGTGAGCGGGAATCAACCGCAGGTCGCCGGGTTCGTAGAGCAGAGCGCGAACTGCTACGCTACCGCTCCCATTTATACACACACAGAAGAAAACTAGGCAATATATGTCCACTCATGCGCCTTCATGCATTTATCCTCAACCACAGTTTTTTTTTTTCCAACTGGATATTTGTATCTCCCCATCTTTCCTGATTTTCTGCCATCAATTTTTTTTGCCGCTACATTCCTTTTAACTTTATAGGCTTCTCTGTATCTCACACTACTTCCCATACCCATCACAGAAGACAGAACTCCCCCGAATCACTTTACTCACCAAATGTCTCTTCTTTCATCATAGCGCCTCCTCTCAACTCCTGACCTCATTCCCGCCCACCTCTCACCAAAGCTGCTAGACTCATTCACGAAAGTGAATCGTCATTTATTTGATCGCCATTGTACTAGCCACTGCATGAGGTCATCTGTGCACATTGCACTGCTGTAAGGGTTTTTAATTCCTAACGTTTTCAGAGATGACTGGATATTTAAAAAAGAAGTATGGGTTTAGTAGTCATGCACAGATACAACATACAGCAGAACTCCTCCACACCTGGGACCCTTTAACCCACGACTATCTATTCTACGCGGGAGCTGTTGGGTTTGCAAAATCTCCTAATATGTTTACCATGATTATATCCACTTTTTTTTCTAAACTACAATGCAAATGGCTTATCCGTAAGTATTTTTGGGGGGGATAAGTGGAATACATTCGCGGATAAACATGCAGACAATCTCAACCACAATTTTCACCCCTTACATTACCACAGATAGGGGAAGTTCGACTTAAATGTTAAATGATTTTCGTTTTTTTCTACAGTATCATATTTAATGGTATGAAAGTCATGGGAGAGGAAGTGTCGAAAAACGTATCTTTCGTATGATGGTAAGCAGAAAATCACACATAGTGGCGAATAATACAATTCTCATTCTTTTTGGGTCTTTCGGTAAAGTCATTTAGATAGTCTTGTTGGTTCTTTCGGTAAAGTCACGTTGAATGAGAATAAAACAATAAAACAAAATTAAGACAATAAAATTCTCACGACGTTTCGGCCACAACACAAGTAGCCTTCTTCAGGTGAGGAGAGACAGGTCTGTACGGAAGACAGAGCTCAAATGGACGCCGTCATGTATGGACAGCATTTATTAAGCTGTGTGGGCTGAGTTAAAAATGAGTCTGTACGTTACAAGCATTACCTCCAGAGAGGGGGAGGGAGGGGGGTGGGAACACAGGCAGAGAGGAACCAAGAAGATGAATCCTTGCAGTCACGAAAGCTTTAAATCTAAATTTCACGTAGATAGGTTCAAAAGGGACCCCCACCCGTTTTCCTGATGAAGACCGCTTTGTGTTGCCATCAAAACGTCGTAGTTTTTTGTTATGCTTTGTTATTTTCTTTGATCCTATCTACGTGACTTTGTCGAAAGACCCAAAGAATATGAATTCCTGCAGTCACGAAAGCTTTAAGTCAATATTTAATACAATTCTCCCAAAAGATTAAAAGTTTGCCACACATGGATAAATCGAATATAGTTTGAGCACCACAACGACACAGTTCAGAATACAAACAGCAACAATCTATCGTATAATGAAATGGTGCACAGTTTGTACCAACAGTTGTTCAAATTTACCAAATGTGTTTCCCAAGAAAGGCCAACCACGGTGCCACCATACTTGAGGCCCTGCTTTTGGAAGGAAAAAAAAACTAAATCCCAGAAATGTTCCCACAGGCCCTCTGCTGGTGAACAGCTCTGCGCGTGGCTCGCCAAACAATCGACGCTTTGTGCCCCAACTCCATTGTGCAAGCCTCCCAGCCCATTGAGGGCGACAGAAGTTGCTGGAGCTTCACAAATCTGAGGCGACAGCCTGTGCATCGAAAACAAATCCAAGACCACAGTGGAACAATAGCGCTGGACAAATGCCCTCCCTTGTACAAAGACCCAGAGCAGGGGCTGCTTGGAGGAGCAGTTGAGGGAAGCTTTGAGAAGACTTGCAAGTGGTCCCAGGCTCGCAACTTCTATACGTTTGTGGTTATAGTTCTCTCATTTTTGAAGGTATGAGTTGCTACTTTATTGAATGGCTTAATCAGTTGTGAGGCCATAATATTACGGCGTTATGTTTTCAGGCTCCTTGAAAAAATGTTTTGTGCAAATGTTAAACGGCCGCTTTTTAGTGTTCCTATGCTTCACGTGTGTGCATAGCTTGTTAGAAGTTTTTTTTTTTAAAATGGCCTAAATACTTCAAGATCGAATGCTACGATTACTTTTAAAAACAACGTAATGAATAAGCACAATGATGTTTGTTGCTTAATGGAAAATTTTAAACGTACATTTAATATTCAATTCTCATACACATTTTCAAAGTGAATTTTATACATTTAGTATAATAAAAACAAATTACACTGCAGTAATATGAAGCATTGCTTTCACGTGCACTGGTATCAGATTTACAAATTATAAACCGTGTTTTGCAAGTTGAGCATATGCCCTTAGCAAACTAAATAACATTTAGTTCGTGCAACTTTACTCATCAAAATTAGTGAATGGCTCAACCCGCTTGTTAAGATTGACGTTTCACTCATGCATCATTACAGTAACCAACCAATGCAAAGTTTATACGTACAAATGGAAATGTCACATTTACAGTGTATTAATTGGGATATGCAAAATTGTCAGAAGCTGTAACAGAGAATTTGAAATCGCTCGTTGTGGGATGTCCTCTCAGGCTTCGAAATGTATCGGAAGATAGCACGGTGGTTACAGGATGACTCTTAGCGAGTGACCAGAAAATGATGTTATGAAATCAGACACCTTCTTGACCCAGGCCTCAAAGATCATACACAGCATTAATGAATTGAACTACTTGGTCGGGAGTGTTGAAAAAGCTTTGGTTGCTGTTATTTTAAGCTTGATATAGCGTAATGTCCCTTGATAATTTGTGATATATTTTGGGGGATGCATATGGTATTGAACAAACATAATACAGCACTGCTTATAACATATTCATAACATCTGATGCATGGTGCAAGTATGATTAATGCGACTATAAAATGGCAATATAACCTAAATTTTAACAGGCTTCAACTGTATTATATTGAGTAATGAAAAATATTTCCGTCACTCAACATATTAGCATGTGTGTGTTTAATGTGTCGCTTGCAAAGCACTATGCAAATTAGAGTGATGATATAGGTAAGTAGTTTTGACTCAACTGGCTTTCATTCTATGTAATTTATAAATGGTTATGTGGGTGATTGAAGTGTTGATATTGACAAATAAGTCCAATTCTATGGGGTCCTTACTGATGTTTATGTTTTATTCTTCCCACCTTTGTTTGAAATCTGACTTTGTTCTTCCACAACCAGGTAATTAGGCACCATGGAAATGAGCCACATAATTCAACGGGGATATAATTGATTCAACGTGCCTGTCATCAGCGGAGCATTATGAAAATTGTGATTTAAAAACCAAAATTGGTAATAACGCGTTTAAATTGACTACAGATTTTCATGTAATTATGCAAGTGCAGCATATGTTAACGTTCTTGCCACACATTTGCATGGACATTAAGTACAGTATTGTGAAGGTTAGTTATCTCGAGACATATAGGTTGGTAGAAATAACTCGAATGCTGCATTTGAGGCTGATACTCAATAATAATATTAATGATTAACAGACCTTCATCAATCCACTGCTGGATGAAGTCTTCCCCACAACATTTGGATTGTGGATTTTATTTTAACCGGTGTGGGTTTTTCGGATATCGCTCCCCACTGATGTTAGCCACTGTGCCAGAGCTCAACCATTTCCTCAATTCCTTTCGGTATATGTCTCATAGAAAGTAACAAAAAACCCAATAACATTACTCATATACTGTATATACATATAAAATAATCAACTTACCTAAAATAAGAATTATTGGCAGATGTTTTCACATGCCAGGAGAGCTGTATGTCAGTCATATTCTGGACACACAATGCTATGCTCGATGGTTAATGTAAATCAACCAAGTAAGGGAGTCTGGCTGCATATGGAATGTTAACGTGATTGATGGTGGGGTAAAATTCAAGCAGAGCTAGGCTTTCACCAAACAGATTAACAAAATCATGATGAAAATACTGTTGCATCATGGCACGAATATTTCTCCCGAGGGGCTTCATTTGTTTGTTATTTCATTACTTATATATCGGTGACGCAAGAAGATGTTGTTGCTCGTAAATTTACAACGCACACCGTGATGTACACGATATACACCGGATGCATGCGTAACACAACAGCGTGCCGTTACTCGTTTACAGCGGTGCAGCGTGTGTGCGTGTGTGTGTGTGCGCGCGTGTGTTTGTGTGTGTGCGTATGTGTTTGTGTGCGTGTGTGCGCGTGTGTGTGCGTGCGTGTGTGCGTATGTGTGTGCGTGTGTGTGCGCGTGTGTGTGCGTGTGTGTGTGTGCGCGTGTGTGTGCGCGTGTGCGTGTGTGTGCGTATGTGTGCGCGTGTGTGTGCACGTGTGCGCGTGTGTGTGTGTGTGCGTGTGTGTGTGCGTGTGTGTGTGCACGTGTGCGCGTGTGTGTGTGCGTATGTGTGCGCGTGTGTGCGTGTGTGTGCGCGTGTGTGTGCGTGTGTGTGCACGTGTGCGCGTGTGTGCGTGTTGAAAACGTGGCAACGATAACATTGGCTCGTACAGCCACTTTCACGATTCGATGGGTGGCAAATGCAGCGGTCATTCAACTTCGTTATGAACCCGGCCAACTTCAGTTTGAGTCCACACCTGCATCGCTTGCGCGTGACATCTGAACAGCACCTGGCCCTCTCTCTCTCTGCTCGCGTGCCCTTCGCCAATGTGCAATAGAGAAAGAACCAGCAGCAGGCAGGGGTTTGAAGCACGGTCACTCAAATGGTGGTGTTATGATGGATGCCTTATTCACCGGCGGTGGTTTCAAAAGGACAGACATCATTGTGAATGTATCGCTTTCAAAATTACGATCGCCTCTCGCGACTGTAAGACGTTTTTTTTGCCTTTCTTGCGAGTGATTAGCTCTTCGTCAAGTCTCTGCGGCCAGCGTGCCCAGCATATTCGTTCGCCCGTACCCTACACCGTGGCAGCCCTATTATTGCACTCACCGACCAAAACAAAATTGATGCACCATTGCTCAAAAACCAAAACCCCAGTCACCCCAGCATCAAATGTCTTTTCTTTTTTTAAATACCGCCTTTGGCACACTATATGCATATAAATAAACTGAGATCGTTTTCCTGTAATTTAGAACCAAGTGCCATAAAAAGCACCTGCTAAGTAAAAAAAACTGTTCCCCCTCCCAGGCCAGTTTGACAGGAGGGAACTGTGTAACAGTAGCGCCTGCCTGGGTAGGCACGGATTCTCGTTTGGCCGTGTGCCCGTGCTGTGTAACAAGCAAGTTGGGGCCACTCCGAGCTGGGTTGAGTTTTGTTTGAAAGTCAGAAACAAGCCTACTGCAGGGAGCCAGTGTCGTCGGTGAGTAGCGTCTCAGCAATGTACTACTCTGGCTAGGCTCTAAAGCGAGATTCAAATTAAATCTGTTTTACGTACACGGGTAGCATGTTGGTGATGGGAATGGTATTGCTTTAAACTGATTAACGGTTTCATAAAAAAAACGCATTTCATTGTGCAAGAGTTTATAATCGCAGAGAACAGGATCTTCTATCTATGAACGGTCACTTAATCGAATATTATATTTGTTTCGCGAAGAGCAATATTTGGTTTTCCGTTATTTGCCTGTTGTATAAAAAGCAAAAAGGCAATGTGGAAGTTGCTGCATGTTACTGACAGAATAACTGCATGTTGCGTGATTTGAAGCCACTGAACAGTATGAAAACATCTGTTGTGAGGAAATACAGTAGCTGGAATATTTTTGTTATATTTTTTTACTTAAGCTTCAACATTCATTATAAAATATCAATCGCTTGTTTGTTTGTATTTAATTGCAGTGCCGTTATAAAATACTGATGATCCTTGCCGTATGGAATATATCTAGAAATACTATCAACATTGAATGAGGCGTTTTTCCTGCAATCCCTAACTGAAAATACTCCAGTTAAGCTGGTGGCAATAACAACATGTTGATCACTAGGTAATGTTTACATTGCGATGATAGGCATATAAAGTGTAGCCTGGTTGCATGTGCTAATGGGACACGTTTAATGACTTCAGATGCAATTCGTACTGTAAAAACACCACGGGTGCAATTATAACGTGTGAACCAATTACTCCCAGAAAATATCTATGTCTGTGCTTTTATTACACTATATTGAAAAAGTAAATAATATTTATTTACAATTTACAGGTCCCCAGAAGTTACTGGAATAGATAATAATGAAAAAAACAATTTGGTGTTATTAGCAAGAATGTAATTATGGAAGGCATTTACATTTGTTTTCATTAAACAGTTTGTGTACAGCTGCAAATGCCATCATAAGCGGTGTCGGATAGGTTCTGAGAAAATAATTCATGCAGAATCCGGCTTCTGTTATCTCACCTGGAAAATGTTAAGGAAAATATTTACACAGACATAATATAATTGTAACTAGTAATATTTTGGTATGGCACACCATATGACAATGGCAGGCAATGATTGTGACCATAGGGTTATAATAAGCAAAGTCACAGGTGTTGTGGTTTATTCTGCATGTAAATAAAATGTTGGCGTTTGTAAAGATGTGTAATCTATTAGACAGCTGCTGTTGCACCTCAGAAAGCTATTGCTATTTCCCATTATTATCACACGCAAGATAATACATCTTTCACTTTGCTGATATAGTTTACAATGAGTGCTTTGTGAATGTATGCTGAAATTTACTGCACGTCAAATAGTGTGCGCCTTGTAAACATTGCAATCTACAAGACACTTTTTGTTCGAAGGTAAATTGCGTTTGCTAAAAACCATTGTAATACAATAATATTTAGTCTATCAGCATATTACTTGTTTGAACGAATGCTGCTACATAACAGTGTTATGGAGAGCCAAGAGGCTGATGGCCTAAAGGAGGATTCGTGTTTGTTTTGGGGAGATCAATGTACAGAAGAGTATTCATGCTTGTTGAATTCATTACACCAACATCCTCCACAGCAGCCCATAATGGGGTTTTGCATAATATCGCTAAGTGGGCCTTCATTGTGAAGATGGAATGATCTTGCTGATAGCATCTGAAGGTCCAGCAGGATATCAGAACTCCTCTTGTCCACGGTGATGTGGGGACGAACAACATAGATCCTACTATACGCAATGCTATCTGCAAATTTACTCCAGTTTTTTGCATTTTTTTACGTGAAAGCATAAACTATGATGCATTTTCCAATCATATCCATCTGTCTTCAAACATTTGTTTGTTCACTATGCAGGATAGGAGAGGATGTGTGTAACAGGAGTTTTCTCAGACCCTACATCTGTAATAAGATTCACAGGTAATCGAGTGGCAGATAAGACTAACTCTGCTAATGCGCCCAAGTGGTCAAAACCGGTACTCTTGTTTGCTAGCTCGAACAAATGCTACTGGAAAAAAAAGTATTGGTCAAGACGACCAATGGACTGAGTGTCTTAGGTTCTCACGTGGGTAAACAAAATAAACTTGAAACCTGAAGCTCTAAAAATGTTTGGTTTTAAGCGATGGATCTACAGTATACATTTGACATTTAAAGTTGGCGTACTTCTCCCAGTTACTTCCTAACTTTTCGTGGTGTTTGTAAAGAACTGTCGGTCAGAGAAGTTTGAGCTATCTGTGCACGGTTTTATAGAGGCGCATTTGTTTTTGGACTCGATCTGCCAATGCTAATTCGTCACGTCCACATTGCTATTTTGGCAAGAAAGCGATGTCAAAGACAACGCACAACTACGAGACTTCAACGAACCATATGCAGTGCACAGGGAATTGGAGAAAAGGCAAGAAGTATGTTTATCAAGGGGTTTTTTTTACCAGTGAACGCCAGTAAGTTAGGAATGGTGCATTTTCGGCTAGAAGCCTCATACATACTAAATGTCAACAGGCTCGGTGCATGGCATTTAAGAAGGTCAAATATGTGTATGGACCTATCCAACCTCTACTACGAGGATATTAAACAGCAGCGTGTGATATATACAGCATTCATATAGTTAATCCAAATTAGCGCTTTCATAACACATTTGAGAAAGCAATCGTGATTTTTTTTTAAACTAATATAAGCTATTTGTTGGGCGAGGGGGTGGGGGGTTTGAATGAAAACTGTTTGGGAATATTGCCCATTAGGATAACTTTATGACTGTGCGTGGCAGCTGCTATGGAAGAAAAGGCACACAGGGCCAACGCGTGCAATGTGTTGGCCTCGACGAGAAATAGCAGCATTGTACAGCATGCACAATGAGGCGTTGACATCTGCAAGGGTTTTAATGTTCAGCGGCAATGTGATGCTCTATATGCGTATCTTGATAGATGTTTTTTTATGTAAACATATCGTTAGGTTTTTGCTGCTCTTTACAAAGTTGGGGTTTCGACATTCATCTGGGGTGTGGATTAACTATGCTTGTGAAAATCCAACAACGTATCTTTACCCACCCTGGTTTTATCGTTAGCTGCTCCTCACTCAGAAATGGTCAGTGACTCAGCGCCCATGTTTCACGTTGGCAAGTAAACAAAATTACTTTAGAAGTCAATAAAAAACAAGATGGTGCAATCTAAATCTTCACCCCCATTCCAGCGCAAGTAAACAATACATCTTTTTATGGTCTAATTTACATGTGCTTTGCATTATCTTCGTTTTGTTGTAACTGGGCCACTCACTCTCCCCATTACCAAAGGTGTGCTTGCAAATAGCAGGAAGGCACGACTCGATCGTGCATTATGTGCACGTTGCTTATTGCTATGCTATACTGCAATTTGCGAATTTAGACAATGGCTAATGATAATTATTATGAATTACTAATGCGCCAAAAAAGAGCTCATCGTGATTTTCAGAGACTTAATCATCTCAATTTTAGCTCAAGAAACAGGATTAAGCAATCTCAAAATGCAACACGGAGACGGGCGTGAGTGAACAAACAAGTGTGAAAGTGCTGTGTGGGTTTGCAGCGTGGTTTGATAATGAGTCACGAACAGATGGGGCAGTCTCACAATGCTGCTCTTAAAAGACAACAGCATCTGGGTTGCGCTGTGTGTGTGTGTGCCTGCCAGGGCATACACTGCGGCTTCTTCAAGTTGTTTACAAGGCAATGGGAGTCAAATAAGAGATAATGGAAGAAAAGAAAAATAATTATAAGTACACTAGTTCTTGGAAGTGATATGCAGTATACCTTACCAGATATAGTCCCAAAACAGCAAAGTGTGTAACACACACTTTGATAGTGCTGTTTCGTGATAGTGGGTCATTCGCAGTGGTGCACAAGTACCAATAACAAGACAAAAACTCAACACATTCATCGATAACACTGCCTGAAAACACACACGTGACTGTATATTGAAATAAGTGACCTTTCGGACAATGGCTCTTCTTTATAGCAGAGATATAGATTTCGTATTCAAGCACAGGCAATAACATCGAGCCCAACAGTAACGGGTCGTGTGTGATTATACATGAGTCATGACAGGCAGCTGTTGCGTCGTGGAAGACGACTCAGCTGGTTGTACTGTCTGTATATTCAACATTGAAATGGATGCTGGCAACCAGATGAGGGTGAAATAGCTCAAGGGCGTCCCATATAAGCACGTGCAGTATACAATATATATTTATGGGGAGTGGTGGTGCAGCGGTTAGAGCGCTGCACTATGAACCCGGCGACACGAGTTCGATTACCACTCACGGCCACCAACATCAGTGACGATTATTTGAAGCGGTCTTGGGCCTCCCCTAAGTCGACTCAGCCTCAAATGAGTATCTGGTATGGCATGTAAACATTGACACTGGGGAGATAAAGGCGGTCGGGTGCGGTGCTGGCCACCCACTCCCTCGTGTACCGTTCATAGGTGTTCGCTAACAGTACTTGCCCTTAGAGTCTATTCAGGGGATCTTTGCTTTTATATACTCTACATTGTTTACACACACACACCACACACGCTTTCACACACATACAGGAATGAGCTGCACTTTTTTTCTTCATCGACCTGGTCAATGCCTACGACACCATTAATCGACCCGTGCCAGAGACTGTTCTGCATGGCTTCAGTGTCCCAGGCTGTCATTCAGAACCTCTGTGAAGGGCAACATATCTGCCTGTGTTCATCCATGCCGAGCTGCGTAGACTTTCCTGTTGGCTGATGAACAGTGCTGCGAGGACTAGCTCCTGGCAAAAGGGCTCCACGGTATTTTGTCGGGGTTTTTTTTCCTCCCACCTGTCTATTTTACTCGTCAAACCAGTCACAGCAACAGCCGAGAAGCCAAATATTCTCCCAGAGACCATATACCAACAACAGCAGCGGATATTATAAAAGGCTAAAATAAGCACCGTAAAAAAACAGCACGCAGGGTTGTTCATATTGGTGTAATCGATA